TGTGGATGTTTGGTGTTATGTACTTGTGATGTTTCGAAATAAGTTTGCATGTTTGGTGTTATGTACAACTGTTTGTAATGTTAATGGTTTGAATGTGGTTATGATTGTGTGTTAGTTATGGACGTGCATGGTATTGGAGTCCATTTTAGACATTAGTTTAACCACATATGGTCCCATTTGTTCAAGTTGAAGTTATTTCCAATGTCACTATTAACAAATAAACTACGAATTTAACATGGGATCCCATCTAACAGACCCATTGTTTGTTTTATTAAAATAAAATAAAGATACATGGACAATAGAGTACTTTTCATTAAAAGGAAATTAACATCAGCAAACTATTACAACTTGTAAACAGTTATGCCGAAGAAAACAATCCAACTAACAACTAAACACACATCTTCAACTTCCAAATCGTTGATTCAAGCTTCTTTTTTGAACTACCCAATCCTGCAATCATAACTGCTTCAACACTCATATTCTTAGTGTCTGCTTATTCTACGCAACAAATAAAACCATTACGAGGTACCTAACAAAAAGAATTTTCGAGTGAGAGACTGTGAATGGAACAAACAAATAAATTATGGCTACAGTGGACAAATAACGAAACTAACACACACCTTAGTGGGGCAAGCATAGAAGGGTCTTCCAGGGTTGGACGGAGTGGAAGACATTCTTATTATGGAGACACATCCAAATAAGCATTTCACCATTTTCTCTTTGTTATTCCAAGGGCTCTTTAATTCCAAAAACAAACAATCACGGGGAAAAAGATAGGTACTGTTGTAACGCCTGCAGATTCAGGCTAGTCAATTTAGAGACTGTAAGCGTCAAAAATAACTTTTTGATGGAATATTATTTATAATAAATAATCGTAACCAAGTTATAGTATATGTCACAAGCTTTCCGTACATATAAAGAACCCTGAAATATGAGTTATAACGAAGAAGTTATGACCCGTGGAAGTTTTACGTCAAAACCGACACAACACCGAGAATCGTAAAAAGTGAGTTTGTGATAAAATACTTTTCATCCTTAGTGATCTAAACAAAAGTCATAGTATACATTAAACTGAGAGCGTGCATAAAAAGAACGTCCAAATCTGACGTCGTATGAGGAAGTTATGATTTTTCTAAGATTTAGCACAACAGTGCACAACCAAAATTCGAATTTTAGATCGATCGATGTTTATCCGACAAAACCTAAATGAGAATTGAAAATCTTATTAATAGGAACTCAACGATAAAAAGACATTCGAAAACGGAGTCCATATGTAGAAGTTATGAATTTTACACGATTATTAAATAGTGTAATCTACTCATACTGTTAAATTTAAAATCGATCGAAAACTAGCCGATAGAGTCAAATGGAAAGTTGTAGATCTTGTCAACGCCTACGCGTGGATATAAAGAACGTAAAAAACGGAGCTCGTATGCGAAAGTTATGCTTTTTTAAAAATTGATTGTTTTACCTGCGTCCGGCGCCACGTGTCAGCGTCAGGCGAAGCCTTGGTGCCCACGCAAGTCCACGATGTGAATTTAAGTTTCACGACGTGAATTGCCCCTAGACAGCCTATAAATAGAGGCGTAAATCATCCTTTTTCTTCACACCATTCTTATCCTTTCTCTCCCATTACCCCAAGCCCTCTCTTCCTTTCCTTAACACTTCCTAAGTGTTAGAGGCGAGTCCCGGAGCGCCAGAAGGCTCCGAGAAGAAGAGCTTTCCGCTCGGAAGTTCTGCCCCCGCAGAGCCCGGTTCCTAGCCAAACCTCCTAGTAAGTGAGTTATGCTTACCCTACTTTAAGTATAGCTTATGTTTAAGTTCATTATCGTTATTATGAACTTATAAACAATATATATTATAAAATGTAATATACAAAGTGTTATTATAATATCTTTTAACTACTCACGGTACGGGGAATCAGGTTTGAAGGGCTGCATAGGGTTGTTGGTTTTCAGAAGTGCTACAATTCCAAAATGGTCATGCCCTCCGGTGTTTCATGTCTGGCCCCTGTCTGTACATATTGGTAGAAAAGTATTGTTTAACACTTATAAAACAATATTGCTCGTAAACTGTCGTGATAAATATTAGACTAAAATCTATTAGTAATAATACTAGGTTTCGTCAAAGGAAATTATATTGATAAGAAGTAAAGCGTTGTCCAAGTTGGAATCACCACTTTAACAAGTGAGTGCATAGTTACTTTCATCTTACAAATAGATATGAAGTATTTAATATAAATTACATGCTATGTGTGCATATTATTTGTGTTCCTGATATCTATGTTGGATGAATGATTTATACATGTTTTAAATGATTTAAAATGTATATGCATTTTATATCTACGAATATGTTGGGTAGAACATGGGTAATGAATGATGAGGGATGAAAGATGATGTAGATGAATATTGGCAGCTGCGCCACAACTTGTAGATGTTTTTGAACTACGATGTACTCTAAAACATACTAGCAGACGCGCTTAAAGGATAATATCGGCAGTTGCGCCTAATAGAGAACATCATAATCCTGACAGTTGCGCCTAAATGATAATATCGGCAGCTGCACCTAATAGAGAACGTCATAATCCTGGCAGCTGGGCCTAAATGATAATATTGGAAGTTGTGCCCAATAGATGACATTGGCAGCTGTGCCATTGGCAGCGATGGACTTCGTGCCTATTCCTTAGGATAATTCTTAGGAATGAATAAATGAAGAATAGATTATTCTTAGGGTAGATCCGTAAGAATAAAGAATATAATGGGGATGGGTAATTGGGTTAATTGTTCGATGATGAAACATAATAACTTTATTATTGTGGGCTGAAAACCCTATGTAATCACCAGGTTTCCCAACCTGACCCACTCAGTTTATTTGTATCACATGTGTCGATACGAAGCTACATTACACTGAGAGATTAAAGGAGATGTAGATCACTAGTGTAAATGAATGTAAGGTCTGTTTATGCTTATGTTTCTGTATTGACGATGGCATCCCAAAGTTTTAATATAAACAAAATACATTTCTTCGGAAATGCTTTGATAATATATTTATCATGTTTTTTCTGGGAACAAATTCCGCAATATTATTCTTTAAATAAATAATCTGATTTTCAAATAAGCATAAATAAAAATTTTAAAATAACCGTGAATTTGGGGATGTCACAACTGTCGAGTAAGGAAGAAAAGTACTTATAAAGAGGAAATGACGAAAATACCCATTTTTTGACCTCATGCACATTTGTCATAGTTGGTGCGCCTTACACTTAATTAACATTAACTAAGGCAAACAAAAGTTACCCTAAATCAACACCAATGAACGCAAGAAATTATAACCCATTCATGCCTGATTTTATCATACATATATTTCAATTTACATTTCACCAATATCATACCAAAATGCCTGTTACAGGTAACCAGGACTTCAAAATACATCCAAAAATTACCATTACAACCACCACTGGAGTACCACTACCTACACAAACTGGATTACCACTAACACAATTGAAACACACATAATCCTAATAACATATATAACAAGAAACATCATTAAACCTAATAGTAGATCACGAGCGCTAGAGTAGCATACCACTACAACCCATGTCCATGAGATTCACTTGCTGATTATCAATTGTAAATGATGAAAATCATGATCAGGAGCATGACGATGACAACACCCACAACCAACATTGTAATTGCTTTAATCTGCTTCTCAACATGGTCGAACCTTTGTTGCATGTTGAGGACATCCACCCTGGAATGAAGGTAATCACAACCCATCTCCTCCTTCATACGCTCGACCTGACCTTGTTGCTCTCAGCTATCACTTCACCATAATCACAGAAGATCGTGTTCAAATCGTTCAAGTTAAGCCCGTCTGTTGAGCTTATTGAGTTTTTGGAGTTTATAGTATCTGGTGATGGTGGTGGGGTAGGATCCATGGAAGACAGTGAAGGGAAAAAGGAGTATTGTCGAATGGTTGTCGACTAGTGTTTGGATGGAAATGGTAACAATAATTTAGGGTTTTGTCCATTAGACCTTCTATTATATACTCGGGAACCACTAAACCCTTAGGGCCCAAGCAAGCCAACTCGTTCGTGAGTCGGTGACGTGTAATCTAAGTTGGGTGAGTTGACTCTCTAACTGAGTTGGGTAATGACTAGGCAAGGAAACCAGTTGAATTGGGCCAAAATCCCTAATTAGCCGGTTAAAATGTGAATTTAGACCCTTATAAAACCAAAAAAATAACATAAGGGACCTTTTAAACCAAAATGTGTAAGTTCGTGGGGCTACAGTGACATTTTCCCCTTTAAAGAACACATATTATTCTAGAGTAAATTACACGAATGGTCTCTATGGTTTGAGGTAATTTGCATGTTTGGTCACACTACTAGAAAACATGGAATGGGATATGGCTATTTTTGCTAATATAATACGGATAATCATCCGTATTCTATTGGGGGTGTATCCTATTACAAAAGAAATAGAATACGGTTAAAACAACTTCATGATATCCAAGGGTGTACATTGTACGTATAGTATGGTGTATCATATATGGTGTATCTTATTATATATGGTGTATCATATATGGTGTATCCTATTTACCTTGTTGTATCCTATATGGTGTATCTTATTGTATATGGTGTATCCTACATACCTTTGTATATGGTGTATCCTATATACCTTGACGTATCCTATATGGTGTATCTTATTGTATGGTGTATGCTATGTATATCATATCCTATTTATAATTGGTGTATCTAGTGTATCCTATCATATTTATCAGCCAACAATCTATCATCCACTAGAATTTAATAAATTGAAGTAAATTGCAATACAAGATAAAAAAGAATATTTTATTATATAGACGAAATAGCTATATGTTATGTTCAATATGAGGAACGTATTGTTATGTTCAACTAAAATCTTAATTACATTTGATTATTTCTTTCCATCTCCAATTCTAGCTCGTTTTGTATGTAGCTCTTGAGGTCTTCTTGGTTACTACCATAGCATATTCCAAATCTGTTGAAAACATCGACAATATACACAATTAACTTGTATCTTGAAAGAATCATTTAACATAAATAACTTTTTATTGCAATAATAATTTAAGATTATGATTTTTTTATTCATTCCCATCCAATCAAAAAATACATTTTTGTAATTTATTTCCAAATTCGAATCAATCGAAAGATAAAAAAGACCATTATAATAGTAATAACAACTAACCATGAAATCATTAATAAGAGTCGACTTGTAGGCCCTCCATGACTTGTTGCATACTTTAAGTGTTTGTTTTTGGGAAGCATCATTTGATATATTCCAATAATTCTGTTTTATAAAATAAAGTATAGTAACTATTAGTAACAATTATTAATTAAAGAACATTTAGCAAGTTCTAAATATCATACCTTAATGTCTAACCACAAGTCATGGAGCTCTGACTTAGATACTTTATCCCAACTCTCTTTAAGGATAGAAATCCTACTCCAGGCCGTGACTCCACAATAAGTTGCAAATTTAGGTTAATTCTCTCCAATAGCTCGATTATGATTTTCGAACTTAACATGTAATGTTGCTAATTTTTCTTCAGCCTTTTTCCCTTATCAATGTGGCGCTTCTCTTACTCCTTTCTATATTTTCCATTGTTGGGCGGGCAGGTTACTGTAGAACTCAGATTCAATGCAACTATCAGGTTAGTTTAGTAAAATGGTTTTCAGAATAACATCATTTTGCTTAAATAATTAAATATTAATATTTTTTAACATGTTACTAATAATTGCATATCATTGTAAAGTGTAAACAAAACATATCATTGTTCATTAAGCAATCACATATTTACTTTTATTATATTAAACATAGTCTATTGTTAATAATGGATCCATATAATAAAAACAAAACAGAAAAAACAATAGTAACAATTAGTTTAAATTCATCCCGACAGTTCAACAAAAAACTGGTCAAAACAGGTCTAGTCGAACCGCAAAAACTCATTGTATATTAAATTATTATTAAATTTTGTACTAAAACAAAATGCATGGGCACCTACGTTGATCATAAGGCAAGTCCACACTTGCTTTTGAAAACTACTTAGCACTGCCCTCCCGTTATACAACTCTCAGACCCTCTCAACTTATCTTTTGTGATGATGTGGGATGTGGGAATGTGAATTGGGATGCATCCTAAACATAAAACAACCATATTCTTCTCCCATATTCTGATATAGGCATGAGCAAACGAACCGAACCAGCCAGAACCGGCCCGACCCAGGAACCGACTTTGGCCGAAATCAAGAACCGAACCGAACCGCCGGTCTACCGGTTTTCGGTTTTTGCTGGGTCTTCGATTTTGCCATTTTGATGTATAATTCAGATTTCAGTGTCTTTAATTGAATGTAACTATGTCCATGTTTGACTTGATCAGCAATTGGCCAAATCTCAACTCAAAGTTTACAAATCATACTGGATATTAAATGTTAAAAGATGTGAAAACTTAAAAGCAATATCTACAAAATTGTTGGGTATTTTGTGTTGCGTCATGGGCTTTGTTTTGTATATCCGGATTGGGCCTGTCCATCCGTGATTATTGATTAGGGTTAAGCTATTTATAGTGCATGCATGTATGCCTTAGATACGATCGTCATTATTATTATTATTGCTTTGTAACCCTAAACACCTCTACAGTCGAAGTTCTTAATCGAGCTCTTCTGAGGTGTTAAAGCTTAATCATTCGACATCAGTTAAACCATTCCTGTGTTCTTTATTACGTTATTTATTGCTTTTCTGCTTAGAATCAATCGATCCTAGTAGAACTTTGTTCTAACAATTGGTATCAGAGCGGGAGACTGTGTAATCAATACACATTCCTTCTGTTTGAAGAATTCTTTAGGGTTTCCGCTTTTATCGAATATAAAGAAGCCGTCTTCTTCCTGTCGACGGTAACTCTTGTGTTTGATAAAACCCTAATCTCAAGTTTACAGGTCTGATTCTAGCAGTTCCAAGGAAAGGCTCATCATGTCTCACGACAATTCTCAAACTAATCCCATCAACATCTCCAACAGCATTGGATCCACTACAAGGGTTCCCATTCTTTACACTCAAGACTATGAAGTGTGGGCGCATCACTTTGAAGATTACGTAGTTGGATCTGAAGATAATGGTTATCTCAGCTGGGAAGCTATCACGATTGGGCCGTTTTTTCACTCTGGAACGAACAGGATAGTGAAGACTCAAAAAGAATATAATCAGCTTGTGGCGGACGTAGAGAAGATGCCACAGGCTGAAATGGACAAGCTGCTATGTAACGTGAAAGCCATGAGAATGATCAGATTCGCATTGCAATCTGACACTTTTCGTTTAGTCGGTTCATGCACGACGGCTAAAGAAATCTGGGATAGGTTAAAAGAATTGTACTCAACCGATGAGGATCTAGAACACTCGATCCAAACCTTGTTGCTCTCAGAATTTGGAGCTTTCGAACAGAAACCTGAAGAGAAACTGATACAGACCTTCGATCGCTTCAATCATCTCCTCAGCAAGATGATCAAGCATGGAATTAAAAGAAAATTGATTGAGCAAAAGGTGACCTTCATGAATGGTTTAAGACCAGAATGGATGGCAGTGGTTTCAACGGTGAAAGCTCATGAACAGTTTAAATCATACTCGCTAGCGAAACTGATGGGTATGCTTAAATCCCATGAAAGCGTGGTAACCAAGGAGGCAAAGGTAGTTTCGGGTGTGGGATCGTTGGCCCTTGTCTCAAAAGGCAAAAGTGTAGCAGAAGAAGAGGAGGATTCAGATATGTCTGAGTGTGACCTTACTGGCGAAGAATATGCAATGATGGTCACCAACCCAAAGAAGTTTGCACGAAAGAAGTTCCCTGTCAATAAGAACCGAAACTGGCAAGGAAGTTACAGCTCTGAGAAGGTGAAAGAAGAAACGAAGAACACCTCTCAAAAGGATGACGACAAGAAAGAAAGCAAGCTTGTAGGTGACTCTGGATTCGACTGCAATTATTGTCATGGAAAGAACCACTTTGCCAAAGATTGCATGTTGAGGAAGATGGCTGAGAAAAGGGACGGTGAAGATGATGAGGCTTATTACATGCGAAAGTTGGAAGAAATAAAGAAAAAGAAGGCAACCAATAGTTCAATGAATTCCTTGATTGTACAGGAAAATGTGGATGAAGATGAGTTCGGTGGCGTTGAAGTCTGAATCAACCGATTTTGAGGATGAAGAAGTGAGAAAACCCACACATGGAAGAGCTTACGTGGCGAGAGAGGAGGCTACTAGTTCGGCTGTTAAATGTTTGATGGTTACTGCTGGAAGACCAACCGAAGGTGAGCATAAGGAGCCGAACCTGACTGAGGACAAGTGTTTTGCAGCCAAGCCCGTGAGTGAGAGGATCAACGACTGTGATCGGCTGATCAAAAAGGTACAATCCATCCTTGAATCACTTAAAGTTCCCGTAACAAATTATGAAGAAGAATTAAATGAACTAAAATTTAAATTTTCCAACTTAAGTAGTAGTCTCATGCAAACTCGCTTAGCGAACTCTAACCTAACTGACCAACTCAGCAGGATGTCTTTGAAGAGTGAGGAGAGAAGGATGTGGATTGAGCTGAAGGAGACGGAGTTAACTAGAGCTAGGGATGAGATTATTTATTTGCAACGAGACAATTTAAAGTTTTTGAAACAACGAAATGTTTTTTGCTTAATTGCTAAACGCTTATATACGAATATTACTCAGTTGCACTTAAATTGTGAAATAGGGAAAAAGATTCATAAGATGATCTTACCCTTCCTTGAATTTAAGGAGGATGAGGTCATCGCTGAGTGTGAATCCATAATGTCCTCAGAAGAGACTTCCATCACTTATAAAATGGGACTAGACAAGATAGAGACCTTTATTGACTCTAAGGAACATAAATGTATGCTCAAAAATCTTTTAGATGAAAATGATAGGTTGAAAATTAAGTCCGAGACCATTCAAACATTTGACTCGTCTAACGCCAAATTAATTTCAGAACATAAAATGAATATAGAAAACACGTCTGAATTTGATGAGGAAAGTGAGATGAGCGAAATCTCGGTGGAAGATGTGGTTGATTGCTCTGAATTTTTAAAGAGCGAAACCGAGAATGAAAAACCACTCATATCTGAGAACTCGGTTGAATATGCTCGTCTGTCAAAGGACAAGTCGAAGAAACTCAAAGAGAAAGCAATGGTCTATCAGAAAGTTCAAACAGTGCCAAATCAAGTATATGTTGTTAAAGGGGGCACTGAAAAAACAAACAGCAGGATTGAAAATCTTGGTCGACATAGACAATGCTGAAAGGTGCGACGATTACTTCTGGTCCGCCCCTATCGATAATGCAGACGAAACCGTCGGCTTATCAGAGCGAACCTCGTGGAGGGTAAAAGGTAGATACGTTGCTGAACCCATCAACAAACCCTCAAGTTTTGACAAACCAAACTCGAGTGGAACAAAAGCGATACCAGAAGAACCAAAGAATGCATCCAATGTATCTTCCAAGACAACCGAAGCTCAAAAGGAGAAGCCAAAATCAGGCTTCAATATTCATAAATCTCAAAAGCAGCTGGCTGAACAAAAACGCCAAAGAAATCAGAGATACATGAAGAATCTGAATGAGCGAAAACGGTTTTGGCAGTCTCAAAACCCTAACCACGTTCCTTCCAAGAAAGAGTGAAATGTCAAAGAAAATGACAAGCCAAACCAAAAGGAAAGTTTTAGTCCAAGCTCCTATTATTCCAAAGCTCAGAACCGGACATCCAGTTTCGGTTCCAACACCAGATCTCAGAACCGAACATCCAATTTCGGTCACAACGTCAAGGCTAAAAACCGAAAGTCTAGCTTCGGTCCCTTTTGCTGCCAACAAAAGCCATATTCAGTGAAGGACATCAAAGGAAAGGGAAAGCTTGATTCAAATTCTGACATCAATAATAAGAAAAAGTCAGCTAACCCTAGGTTCCAAAAGAATATTCCAAAACCATCTAACAACAAACCATATGATACACCACAATTTAAACAAGATAAAAACAAAATCAATGTGTATACCATCAAAAGAAAAGACGAAACCACTCTAATAAAAAGAACTTATTTGGTTGATCTTTCTGTTGCTATTCCTTTTTCTGTAAAAGACTCACCAGGGCCCAAGAGACTTTGGGTTCCTAAATCTGCTTGAATTTGCAGGTTATAAGTGACGAGCAGTTCGATGACGAATGGTACATAGACAGTGGCTGCTCACGTTACATGACAGGAAGGAGGGAAGAGTTGAGGGAGTTTCGGTCCCTTAAGGATGGTGGATGTGTGAAGTATGGAAACAATTCTTATGGAACAATCAAAGGATATGGAATGATAACCAACGGAGAATTCACAATTCGAAAAGTGGCTTACGTGGAAGGATTTCAGCACAGCCTCATTAGTGTATCTCAATTGTTTGTGGGAACCGGTTTGAAAGTTTCATTCGATGATGAGGGATCAGAAATTATTGAAAAGCAATCCAAAAGAGTTCTGTTGAAGTCTGAACGCAAGGGAGAAATGTATCCTTTAAATCTCAACCCAATTCAAGGAAAACCAGCAATATGCCTGCTATCAAAGGCGAACTATGATGAAAGCTGGTTATG